TTCTGTACACCGCCATCTTCGCCAACACGCCAGAGAGCCATGCAGCACAACCATGAAAACCTATGTAGTATTGTAGCATCAGTAATATCTGATTTCATTTTCCATTTACGATTACTGGTAAATAAAACTTATGCACTCCCGGTTAACTTTGCTTTGTTGTGCAGTTCAGACATTCGGCATTTGTCAGTGGGAGTTTTTTATGCTTTATCCCAACATAACTTTTCCTATCTCATCCCTGAACCTTAATTGTGTTATGTTTGGTGTTGTCGTTTTCCCTCAAATAACAAAGCATGGAAATCGCTACGAGTTCCCTTACTCCTTCGTTAATTGTCGAGACAGCCTCTGAGAAATACACAACAATGGAAGTGATGGGTAATCGGCTCTGTGATGTGCTCGTGTAGTTGCTCTCGCGAGATACAGGTCATTTATACAGCGAATAACCGTGTAATGCATGAATAATCGAAGAACAAGTGCATGCCGCATTGTTGAAAATGAATTTATAAGATTCATTTCATGCCAGGTGAGAGCCCATTAAGTGTAGCAAATGTCTCTTCCAAGGGAGACCAGAATACCCAAGTGGCATATCCAAAATATTAACCAATAAAATATATATGTACATACTTACCGCCCAAAAAAAGCCCCACAATCAACTCCGTTGTCAGTTGGTAAAACGTGACCAGGCTTCTGTTTCCTATATAAATGACAAAAATAAATATAAATGTGGTCTCATTGGTACAAGACCTTCTGAATGTTATCTTTCTCTTATCCTGAAGCGTCAATAGTGAAGCAGAAAGCCATACAAAGTCTCCAATACTGCCCACGATAAATGTTCTCCAGGTCTTCACTAATCCTCTCTCTCTGTGGCGTGTTGGCAGTCTTTCCCTCATTCTTGCTCCCCATAGCTCATACTCCGAGAATTTCCTGGGCTGCCTTTAATCTGACTTTTTCAAACACTGTCCCAATCACCTCAATCTTCTCGTCTCTTAGCCATTATCTATAACATCGAGTTCACACCGCGCTGATTTTCGATCGAGTTTGACACGAAGTCGATCCACTTTACTCCATCAGTACCCCCGAGTACTCTCGGCTTCCTCCGATCTGCTGACACCCCTTTGATGACTGGCGCCAAGGTGGCGAGATCTCGCCTAGTATGCAGGTCGTGGATTAAATCCCGAACCTGTCACCTGGATATTTGGAGTTTGCGTATTCGCGTGGATTTTTCTCCGGGTTCTCCGGGTTTTTACCTCCACATTTAGAAACATGCGTTTACAGTATTGGGCTGCTATACATTTCCACAAGATGATACGCCACTTCGTTGAGCTATAATTTGTGATAGCCAGGTCGCTTCTCAAAAAAGAGCTATATAGCTCAGTGGGCCTTACCTGGTAAATAAAAAAACGTTATAGTTAGAGAGACTATCTATGCGGCCCTCTCCATTTCACGCAGTGAGGCTGTTATTGCCCTCCTTTGATCGCACTCTCCCTGTGGTGTTGTCATTCACATCTCCACTTTCCTGAGCTTTGCGCCGTTTGCGACGACGCAGACGACAACTCTTGACCTCTCTCTCTCTCTATGCTGCCCCAATGCATTCACCCGACTACCAAGGTACAGTGTTCCACCTCTTCAACTGTATCATCATCACTGGCTGCTCTCAATCGTTCAAAAAGTCGCACGGGTTAAAAAAAGGCATACCACACCCCCCAACTTGCTGCTATGAGCATTAATATGCCTAGTCGGTTGAGCTATGATATTCGAATCGTGAACAATCGATATACGTGAATGCATGGAGTTAACCAAATGCAAAAATACAACTTTTGTGGCTTTAATTTGGCCAAGTGCATCGCGTTTTAAAATCGACAATCAACTGCCATTATTTTTTTCTTACAAATCACCGAACTCGGTTTCAATACCAGCTGATCACCTCGTCCTGAAACGAAACTTTTATCGTAATTACGCAGTGATGGTAACAACAGGAATAGTATCAGTTCGAGTAACAAGAGGAATAGTAGTAGAGTAACGATAGGAATAATAGTAGAGTAACAATAGGAGTAGTAGTTAGAGTAATGAAGACGCGTTCTGCTGGGAAATGCCGTGCAGCGTCAGCGTGGAGTGGCAGAGAGCCAAGCGCATTCCACTGCGCGCTTGTCATCCCGATCAGCAGACTCGGCCCTATAAACGTCAAGAGACGATAATTCACCGACTACTGAAAAGTCATTCCCCGCCGTTGCACTGGGGGAGGAGGAGCTGTTTCTTTTTGGCAGAGCACGCTAGCCAACCAAACATTAGCCATACCCCGAACCAACTATCCAACAACACACGCGCCGACGCGAACCCTTACACCCTAACCAGCTGGCCAACCAGTGACTAGTGCTGACTTGCTTTATTGATCCAAACCCCAACCCTAACTCCACGTTTTTGCAACGATTGCAGGTCTCTTCACTTTTATTTGCTTTCTGTGGTGCGTGCATAGCGCCATCGGTGGCAAGCGATGTTTAAATCTTCCCTGGGTCTCTCGAGTATCCCTTGAGGTCTAAACAGTACCTGTTGGTGGTGTATGAACGCTAGCATTGGGGAGACAAAGGCAGGTGGGAGTCATTTTGGTGACAAAACCCCCTTGCGGGCTATTCCAGCCTTGATAGGTGTTAACTAAAATTACTAACCTCAAAATTATGCATGGATAAACTGTATGGAGGGAACATTGTGGCTGTAAATGTGATCCTGTGTAATGCTAGTGAGAAATGTTTTTATTCAAATTCCGATATTAAAAAATAAATGTGCCATTTATTGTTCGTCGAATCAATGCATTTAGAAGGCAGCAAATAGGTTTTTAAGTCGATATAAGCTTCGGGATCTTGGCAGTAATTCTATGGTATCCGCTTCCGAGGATCAAAATTGATTCAACACGATGCCGATAGCAAAATATGGATAAAGATGACAAAAATGTATTTTAAAAAAACTTTCAGTCACATACAAACTCATGAATACCCTTGCATTAACTTCCTCTACATGCACATATTTGTATCATGTGAAATATTGAGTTCTCAAGATTGTATTTCAGAAATGTCCCGCATTGGAATGTTTGTCAATTCCTTGAACGTCTCACATGTGGAAGGATATTGGAGTACCCAGAGAAACCCACGCATGCGAGGGTGTGATACTCAACACTGGCATCACCTGGCCACCTCATCGTCCCATGTTGACAACAACCGGCAAGTTCTAGCAGGCGCCATTCCAAGTATACAACAGGCTTAACCCTCAAGTGTCTGAGAGCTGATGAAATTGGGTACATTTGCGATGTGCTCACAGCCATAAACCCGTTTTTCCAAGGGGTCTATCGAGTGACTTTGAGAGAAATATCGTTTGGGTGACTCCGTGAGGTCAACGTTTAAATGAGGACTCAAAATCGAGCACATTTTCACAGCCAATTTAAACAAAGATCAGCATAAAACGAGCCACGCCTTGGCATTCAGGTGGGGGGCAGTGTTTCAGAAAACGTTTTGTTTTCTTTCCATTCGTAAAGTGCATTTATAATTTTGACAGCCATCAATCTCACCATATCGCCACAATTGTAGCCTACAGATAAGCCCACGATTTTTTGCGACATCTTGCACATAGGCGTCTTAGAGGCAGTGGGCATTGGTTCAGGGCTTTTTCGTGATGCACACCAGGAGTATATTTGCTCTTCACAGTTACATCACGGCAAACTAGAGAAACAAACAGGCACAAACGAGACAGCTCCGCACGTCTCACTCACTCGGCACGTTCCAGCACCAGTTTAAACAGCAATAAAATCACTTCCACCCCAGCAGAAGAACGGACAAATCCTCACCACTTGTCAATTTAACGTCACCGTCAGCCATTCTCTATCCACTGCTGGGTGAAAATAAACCTCTAACCGTGTTGTTGCTGAGAACACCAAAACTGAAACATTAACAAGACGCGTTAGGGACAATGGCAATGCCCCAGAGTTAGCGCTAAGAGTCGTAGTATGGTCATTGGCAGGGTTATTCTTCATGGTTGGTTTGCTGATTGGTTATAGCTTGACCCAGAGGCTGGATGGCCAGTTGGTTAGTTAAGGATTCAGATAACATTTGATTGGTCAGTCTGCTCCACCCCAAAATTGCTCAACCTCCACCCCATTGCCAATGCATGGCGTTTTCAGTTGTTGACTGCTTTTCCTTTCCCGTGCTCACAGCGCCAGACACGAGCCCCAATGTCAACTCCCACGACCTTGGTTATGACCATGCTGACGAGGCGAGACAGTTGACCCTCGTTCCATTAAGCGTAGGTCGTTGTGTTCCTACGAAGCCTTGTAATTGTGCTGAAAATGCTACAAAATTTCCTGTACACACACACAGACCGTGGGGAAAGTTCTGGCGCCTGTTAAGGCTGGCACAGCATGTGACACGTGGGAGTGGTGGCCAGCACCGTGCCTGACAGCTTTGTCTATCCACTGTTGATGTTGATACATCTCACCAGCGAATCATTAAATGCCGACTCGCCATACAGAAGGTCCAGCACTGTGCTCATAATATCCTTACAACTCCTTTTCGCGTACATTTGTCAACGAGCTCACAAAGCCATGCCCACATAAGGCCAAGGCTCAGCTGAGCAGGTTGGGTGCTGAGGTCCCCAGTGCGTGGTGCAAGAGTTGTGTGTGCCCTACCGGGGCCAGTCACGTGCTGCGACCCTGTCAGGTGATCACTCGGGCCAACGGACTCGCCCTGAGAATCAAGGTCGTCCGTAAGCTCAGCGCTGTTTTACGTCGGTCAGCTTCAATAGGATATCTGATGAAGATAATCTTTGTAGTTGAATGTCAATTTTGAAGAAAAAAAATGTGGACCGCTGTGCCAGTTGTTTTTTTTTCTCCCTCCCCCCCCATTGCAAGTTTGCATCGGTCAATACATACTTGAGTGGCAGGCGAAATAATTGGCAGATGGGAGGGAAACAAAAAACAAACATTCAATATCAGTGGCAATAACCGACAACCAAACAGGACAAGTGGTTTAATTTGGGTTTATAATCAAACATGAACAAATCAGAATAATACAAAATTAAACTGTTACGTAGGACACCAAAACATTACTGTGGCACGATCAGGGGCATATTTCATATAGTTCCCCAAAATTGACGTATTCGTTATAATTTTATATATACTATATATGTACAAAACCATATCTATATTCATGTTAACAAATTAACCAGTTTGCAGCGAGTTGATAACACCTTAAAAAAATTGCTTGCCACCTTTCACACTGCACACAGCACATTGTGATTCTCACAGGTAAACAGCCACACATTACCAAATTAGTGCAGGCGGTGCAATGAGGTGAAAATTGATTTTTGAAACGAAATATCACGCGATCGTCGGAATGACTGTGTGTGTTACAATTAGAGCAAGCCATCACCTGAGCGGGTTTTTTTTTCTTCTTTGCTGCAGGTGTTGCTAATTACATTTTGCCAGTGTGACAACTTGTTCTGCGATGGTAATACAACTGCTGTGAAATTTGAAATTATACCCAATGTCACCCAGGAGATAAAACTCCTGCAAAACGCTGTTTTGAACTTTCGTCCCTGATGCCCACCTGCGGTGAATTTTTCACACGATCCAATTTTCTGTTTTGGCACACAGACCAGGTGTAAATTGATATGTGACTTTGGTAATGTACATATTGCACAGGCCTGCCATGTTTCAGACGACGTCAGCTCGATTCAGGATAGGTCACATAGGCTAAAGTTCATATATCACAGCTGTCACGTGTTGTAATGTAAGCATAATGTCATGAACACGTCCCTGGTCATCGTTAATTCGAGTGAGCATACACTGTGCATATAAATTCACACACAGATTTTGTTTAATGAAAAAGAAAAATTAAACTGGAATGATTCCAAAAGCCACAAATGTTCTTACAGCTATAAATAAAACCCAAAATTTGCAACAGGCTCCACGTTGGCTTGCAATGTTATTGATCCATTGCCATGATTTTAAAAGTGTGGGGGGATTTTATCTCTGAAAATAGCGCCCAGTCGAGGAGAATAAACGTGGCGGTGGGATGAGAGGCTGGGATGGCGTAGCAAAAGATATCAGTCTATGGGCCAGGTGCGTTTCACCTCCCATCTGTGTCCATCCCAGTTTCATATCACAGGCGCACTGGCCGGAACCAACTCTACCTTGTGATGATGACCTTCTTGAAACATAATTATTTAATGTGAACATAAATAGAGAGTGCGAGTAAGTACGTTAATCAAAATAAACATAAAAAATTAAATGTAAAAAAAGAGATAATACTGTACATGGTTATAGAGCCATCGATGTGGATGTGTGCATTTGTGTGTCAATAATAATGGTACAAAAATATCATACTGTAAATTTTCGTGTGCAATTTTAAATATGGCCTGTCATTTTGCCAAAATGGCTTTACTGTAATGTATGATGGCATAGGCCAGGTCATACAGGCAGGGATTCTATCTCTGAGATACAAAATGCTGGGTCATATAATGGGACAAAGAATAATCTCAGAATACTTGAAAAGGGGAAAACTATAAAAAACACATTGATGACCCTGGGAAAAGCATAACAGTTGACAACCATACATACAGGATGAAACATCCTCCTTCACACTCAAGATTCTCAACCAGTGCTGCTCTTTCACCTGGACATGGCCTCCTACATCGACCAATTAACACAAGGGTGTGTGCCCTTTCCTTAAGCTGGGCTAAAAACTACTTTAGGTTACTTTTCGGTAGGCCACACATTAACACACCGTTGGGTAACCAAATCATAATAATGCGAAAAGTAACAAGCACGTCGACCGAGTATAAAGAAGCAATTGCATTGACAGGAGTGACAAGAGCATGACGCTTAAATGAGAAATACAGCTTTTCCAGGTCAAAATCAACCACGGTTACGAATTAGTGCAGCCGAGATGTTTGCAGGGATGGATAAATACTTTTTTTTTTAAAGTCACAGGGCTCATGTGGCCCCTGGGTCATATTAAATGAAGTCATGGGCTGAGATGGCCCAAAGGCCCTGGGGTTCCCCATTCCTCAATTATTATTGTAGTGCGTAATTGCCATTCCGTTCATTTGATTACCAATATCATAATGTGCATACAACGAAAGTAAACTGATAAAGGGGAACATGTTGGGGCATTAGACGTTGGAGGGGAGGCGTGTGGAGCAGTGTCTGAGAGCTGGTGCTTCGCATGAAACAAATACTTGGGTTGCATTGGGTGCTGTCATGTTGCAAGCTTCCATCGTGCACATTTATTTATATTTTATTGAATCTGGTGGCTGAATAAATGGGAGTTGCAAATCAACTCCGACAGAACAAAATAACATTCTGGATTCCTGTTACAAATCGCATGGACTAATGAATGCTGCTTTGCCAAATATAGGTGCGTAGTACCGAATATGTAGACAATTATTCAGACATTTATCAGTGTGCACCCATTCAGAGCTACTCTCAAAAAAGTGATTACATTCCGATGAATGTTCAGATTGTGCCACGTGTTCTTCAGCATGATGTTCGTTCGACATAGCCTTCCACGGGAGCTTCTGTTCCATGACTGAAGAAGGTCCCAGCACATGGAGCGAAATATCGGACATGATACTGAACAACTCGAAAACACATCAGAGAGCTATCCAGCACAACAGCGAAAAGCCACGCAGTAATAACAAAAAATATTCTCGAGGGTAACGAAATGGGACAAAAGTTAAATCGAACATATTCATGCCGGGCATACATAATTCTGTTCTCTATGAGCACTGACGAGATATGTCAAACTTTTTATTTTTTTAGTCAACAAAAATATTGCGCGATTCTGTACATAAGCATCCATTTACAGAAACGTTTATGGGGCAGGCCGTGATGTTCTCACGCATGCGTCCGTTGATATTTTTGGTTGACATTTAGGTAAGGCAAAAATATCCCTTTCATAACAACTTTTTGGTACCGAAAAGAACTAGATTGTTTTATTTCTTTCAAAAAAAAATGTTGGTTACCCAAATAACACATCTCTTGGAGCTCATTTTATTAAAATATATTGCGTTTCTTGAGAAGGTGCTTTCAGCTTCAATACTTGCACGGATGCAACGGGGGTCGTGGGAGGGCTGATTCACCACGTGTTACTGAAGGGGAGCTTTTTACTTTCCAGCCGGCACCATTTTTGCACAGCTCCTTGCTGCTGAAATTAAAACAAAAATGAAAACAATCCTCAAGTTGAGCACCATGGCAAGACAAGCTATTCCATCATTTATACACGTGCAGCTCTTGATCACTCCACTACTAGATGAGGGACACACCGTGCCAACAGTGCCGTATTAACCTTGTGCGGGGCCTGTAGCATGTTATAAAGGGGCCCTAAATAAATAAATCAAACTCGTAACATTTGAACACATACATTTTTAACTTGCATAGTAAAGTAATTGTATTTTTTTATATGCTATACAGCCAGATAATATGACAAATCGCTAACCTTAAATACCCAGTCGTTTATAAAAGTTGAAGGCAGTATAGTACTATAGTAATAGAGCAAGTCCAGAATCACTGAGCGGGAATTGATAGCTTCAAAGTATTTAGCGCGGGGCACTGCGTGCCAATGATGGGAGTTGTTTGATGAAACGTCACCAAGGCGATCGTCGAAGGCAGGGATAATAATGTGGGAGCATAGCAGTGCAGTACAACTATGGACTTTACTGCGCTGCCCACAATATCAGCAGCTTATGATAGCCCACCTAAGCAATGTCCCGGCTCAACTCTGCTTAGCTTGAGATTTAACAAGATTCATGGTGATGTGGTCATTGGCATTTAAGTATTTTAATACACACACAAAAACCTATTATGGGGAGGGGTTGAAATATATTGTTCAACCACAAACCAAATATACAATTTTGCCCGGACAATTGCTCAACACGTTATTTCTTAAACAAATCACATCGGGGTTGTGGGGGGGGGGGCAATGTAAATGAGCACAGGGCGAAACACGAGCGTTCCACTCAAACAAAGCGTTTGCTTCCCCCGGTGTAGCCGAGCCAGAGTGAGGCATTTCTTGTACATTCCTGTCATAGCTCTCCCACTGACAGCCAACAGTGGCACCACAGTGTGCGCCTTCACCCCCCCCCCCCCCCACCCCCTGACACGGACGATGAAGATTCAGTGGAAGTTGAAGTTTCCTCTTCCTGGCGCCACGGAGGAATATTGCGATTGCTCGGCGTGGCTGCGTTTAACCCGGGCCACCGCTGTTGTTGGCTCGAGCTCTCGCGGGGTGAAGTTCGCCCGCAAATGTGTGCACGACCTTCCAAGACACTCGCAGCAAGCGGGAACCGAGACTCTGAGGCACCCGATTACGTGCACCGCCGTAACAAGTCCCTCTTATTGCACGGACTTGCTCGTCTCAATCGAAACCTCAAACTATCTGAAGCAAAAGTGGCTGGCCGAGTGATGTGTACCCGTCTCCGCTCTTCTACGTTGTTTTCATCGCGATTCTTTGAAAGCGTTACCGTTGTTTCTGCTGTTGTTTCTGATGACAAACACTAGACCTGCAATGATTATTTGCTCTCCTCTCAATGAATTAAAATGTAATGATTCAGGGTTGCATTTCGAAGAGAAAAAAAATAGATTCTCGCACGCATGATTCTATGCCTGTATGTAATCACCTTAGAAATTGTTTCATAATGAGCGAATCTATCAATAAATCAATGAATCATGACACCGTTACTAAACAATTAACCCTCAAAAGCGAACTCACAGACTTCCACACGTGGCATTGGTCGCGTGTGTTGTCTACCGATACGTCACCACATTGGTCAGTGCGGGTTCGGTTCAGAGGTCACTTGCAGCCGGTGTCAGCCATGGCCAGGAATCTAATGCGTTATCCACTGCGCCAACCGCTCCACCTCACAACCCCACTAAAAACATATATTTACTCATTCACTAAACAGCATTAATGCAAGCGTGTGTATTCCCTTGCTTCGGAAGTGTGTTTAGAATAGGCAGGCACTTGGGCTCTACTTTAGTTGGAAACTGTTAACTCCCTAGCATGTGTTTTCCTTCTCAGTCGAGGGCCAATGGTTTGTTCTGGAGGCCACCGACGGCGTCACTTCGCACGCCGCCGCGAGGAAATTACCTCAGCAAGCCACTCTGCGCACAGTGCCACGGAGTTTGCGATGGAAAAATAAAGGTTTAAAAAAAAAACCCAGGGAAACTGAGGTTATATTTCACAGTCACAGCGAATGTTGCTGTTTACTTTATTTTTATTATGTTTTATTTTTATTACTTTGTTTCCATTCTACGTGACTTTACCGAAAGAACCAAGAAGAAGTTGTCAATGTTGTTTTAATAAACGCATCCATTGTGCCGGTGGTGCAACTGCACCAGCAGTTCCTGGGCCAGAGAGGCCAACTCGTCAGAGGGGCCCCAAGTAAGAGAGAGGAAGACATGGACAGGGCACCCCCCATTTCATCCCTTGTGTAGAACTCTTCTGTCAAAGACAACTGAGTAATGATGGGGCTGGGAGGGTAGTCTGCACTCACATCCATAATAGGCAACCCGTGTACAGGTAGTTAATGGGTGGGTTGGATAATTGGCAATTAATCAAGGGTGGTGGAACTGGTTGGGACTATATAAAGAGAGAGCAGGGTGCCGCTAAGGGGGCCTTTCTCATGCTGGGGTCGCTGTGGCTGTACATTATGGTGGTTGAATTAAAGAATGTTTCGTCTACGATCTCGAATTGAAGTCCATTCTCATGCGCCAGGACTCGTGCCAATAATGCTAGCCCACTGTTGGGAATACATTTAGATTTTCTCATTACTGTATTGGTTTTTTTTAGGCTTTCAGATGGCTTGTACAAGGCTGGCAGGTTGCTGACCTACACGTACAGATATTTTAATTATTATACTTTGTATTCTGTATGTGACATCAAGCAGTTTTCTTAGCTGAGGCTTTCCTTTAATTCCCTTCAAACCATCCATTGTGTAACCCCCATAATCCTTCTTCACGTGATGGCAGAGCCCACCCTTGTGCATCTGCTGATAAATGCAAAAACAAAACCAGCCAATTGCTCTGGTTTGCATCCTTTGCCTCCCCTTCTTGCCAAACTACAAGAGCGGCGAGAGATAATGCATTACTGCACTACGTTTCACTCCCTGTTATCTCACCACAGATTCCCAATGGTCCTCCCAGGGCAACTGTGTGCACCCCCCCCCCCCCCCCACACACACACACAATGAACCCAATGGGTCACCCCTGGAGCCGTTATTTCCCAAAATGTTGTGCTAACCAAAAGTAAACAGCAAATATTTGCCCCAGTGCCCCTTTTCTGTCAATCAGCTCCCCTCCCCCACACCTCCCCCCACCTTAAATTACCTCATCAAACAGCGTAAACTCCTATCCATCAGAGGTCTATCCATCAGAAGTAATTACAGATCGTAACGCATTTTAACACTTTCTTTGCGCCGAGGCCGCTTGGTTCTCCGAAGATAACACGGTGGTGCCACGATAATTGTGTGTAAATGAGCATGCGTGGCTTAATGCGGGCGAATTGTGTGTGTGATGCAGACGGGCAATTTTAAGTTGTCAGAAATTGTTGCATGAGCAGAGTCAAAGCTTAAACAGCTGCTTCCTTACAGTAAACCCCGGAGACAACCAGTGGTAAATACTTCGGGTACACCCCGCTGCTAAGCAGCTTGCGATATGTTAATGCTGGACAGTTCAAGCCTCAATGGCTTTTACAGCTCAAACCCCGCCACTGTTTAAAAGAGCTTTTGGAATCCCAGGCCTGGAGTCCTTTTTGCGGAGTCCTACTCGGCGGTGGTGGTGGGGGGTTGGGGCTGCGCAGAGAAAAACCAAAGCACACCACGCGCAAAGGCCAGTGGTGGGTTCCCTCCAGGAATGTGTAAATACTCAGCATGGGCGAGTAGGGGGTCTCATTGACAATGTAACATCGGTTGCAAAATACTTCAATGGAATGAAGGGAGGAGAGGTTACGAAACCTCGCAGCAGTCGCACCGCAATGGAATACTCTTACGGCCAATAGTTCGTATGCGGGAGTGAGATTATTGTGGCATCACGGGACCTTGAGCAATAGTGGGGAAAAAGGGAGATCTGTATCCAGAAGTGAAGATGCATGGTTATTCTGATGGACAATGGTAGAAAATGCACATTTATATCGTAAGGGCCAGTATTTCTGTAAGACAGCCCTTGTTGGCTACCTACTAAATAAAGTTAACTTAAAAGTGCTCATTTTACCGGCCTTGGAAAAATGATGGGCTAAGCCGATTCTGGCCAGGATTTGAGCTTGACGATGTTCTGCCAAACACCCCAGCCTTATACCGAGCTACTGTTAGAAGTGGTAACAATAATGATAATGAAATTGTGACTGCCAGCTACCACGTGGATACAAGCAATCATCTCCCAAGGCACCCAAAATGAACAAGGGGACTCTGTGAGTTCCAATCTTATCCACAGTAACACATGCTCAAGTCAAAGAGAAATAGAGCACGGTGGCAGCGGTGGCGGTAGTGGTGGCGACATCGACCACAGTGCCTTGAGGAGGCTCGGGGAGGCGCAGACAAAGGGCCATCTCAAGCTGTCGGCATGAGACAAGTGTCCTGCGACCCGTGGAGAAACGGGCAGCCTGCGGAGACACCAGCCTCTTATCGAGGCGCGACGCAGTCGTAAATCTATGCACAGTCCCAGGCAGTCATATAATAGGGCAGCAGAAGAGCCTTTTGGGCCCTTTACATTGGAGTATGCGCGTGAAAAACATTTCTAAAAATGAGGTGTAGAATACTGTTGTAACCATCCGTCGTGTATGTATTCTAAGCGCCGAGTGCTTCACTTGTGGTGTATCATTAAGTGATCGGCGAGTGTTCCATTTTTATATTTCTTTCCCAACATAATTTTGAGCAACCCTCGTATTAACAAGAAGTAAATAATATGGACAGCACTGGCCTTCCTGCTCCTGACATTCGTCTGGAAAAATTGACGTGTGCCATTAGAATCTGCCTACAAAATTCAGCCAACTGGAACCTAACCTCTACCGTGAAATACAGTAATTTACCTAAACATGCACATTCAGGATAAAACAGTGGAAAGTATTACTTTTGTCCAGTGCTTGGATTAAAAAAAAATCATCTACTCTTACTTTTATGAACTCATCAAATTTGCATTGAAGAACGCCCTTAA